CAATCTCGAACCCACCTGCTGACGTATGTTTAGGAGGTGGGTTCGAGATTGATGTTTCGGCGGCGGCCATTATGAAGCGATTTCAATAAATTTCAGACGAAGATTTAAATAAAAAATAAATTAACTGTTTTTAAATGTTTTATAATTATAATTTTTTTTATTTTGTTTGATAAAAATGGAATATTCTGTATTCAAAGTGGAAGAGAAGAAAGATGGTTGCCGAAATTTGTTGACGGGCAGTTTTTATATAAATCTTGGCAATGTTTTCACAGAATGTGTCCATTTTCTTTTTTCAACAATAAGGGAATATTGTAGAGAATTGTTTTAGCTTCAATTTAAGCCTAAGTTTGTTTTCTGCGGAGTATGTTGGCGGCTAAAATGTTCGTTATCCAAACAAGAAATTATATACTAAAATGCGTAAATTCTTTAGTATACTTTTTACCGAAATGGCATGTGATAAAAACCAAACATACTTGCAGGTTCGGTGAGTCCGGGATTGGACCCACCTCGGGTGGCTGGAAGTTTTCCGAACCCACCTCGTTTCGCTCGGTGAGTTCGGGAAACTTCCAGCCACGGAGCCACCCTCGGTGCGTCCAATCCCTGACTCACCTCCCTGCAAGTATGTTTGTTATATTAGTATTACCTTATAACCTTGCAGCCATGCCTTAACTCACCCTACCTTGCCATACCTTACCTTGTCTTGCCTATAGCCTTGCCTTGCCTATAGCCTTGCCTTGCCATACTTTATTCATTAATTTACCTTGTCTTGCCTTGCCTTAACTTACCTAATTGTTTAGAATGTATGCAAGGTTGGTGATTTCGGTTGCAGCGAAATAGTAGAGGACACTCCTGTCAGTCCAACTAGATCATACCTAACTGGCACATTCGCTTACAGAGCACCTGAACTTCTCCGAGGACAATCTGCCAGCTGCAAAGCTGATATCTACTCCATGGGCATCTGTCTGTGGCAATTCTGGACGAGAGATACACCGTATAGTGGCAAAAATCAACATGTGGTGATATTTGGTGTGGTGTCAAAAGGTTTGAGGCCCAAACTTAGCGCCGATAATATGCCTGATAATAAATATCATGAACTCATGACAAGTTGTTGGAGTGCACAACGTGACAACAGACCATCCTCCAAAGAGTTGCTCGATATACTAGCTTGCTGGAATGCCAAAACGTGAATTATCAAGTAGGTCGTTAATTAATGGAATTATCATGATAGTGAATGCCTTTTGTTTTTTATTCGTCTGTTTGGAGTTGGTGTTTTTTGCTTTTATGTTTGATGTTTACTTGTCTGTAATTTCCCTTGTTGTTTGTTATTTCGTATTCAGTAGTAAACTTGCTAGCGTTTCTTTGTTTTTTTTTCATTTCTTCGTTCTTTTTTGTTTTTGTTTTTTTCATTTTGTTTCTTGTTCTTTTGTTTATTTGTTTAGTATGTTTGCTTGCGTATTTTTTTGTTTCCTGTTTGTTTTTATTCATGTTCGTTTGTTTCCATGTTGGTTTAGTAATTTTCATGGTTGTTTTTTACTTTTCTTGTTGGTAACACTGAATCATTTGAAACACTTCCATATACTATTCTTTCAGTTAATTTTATGAAATTACCTGAATACAGGTTAGAAATTCAACTTCCAAAGTTTTTCATACTTATTTTACACGGACTTGGGTCATTCGCAGCATTTCGAATGTTACTTGCAAAAATTGGCGCGACAATTTGTTGTTGTTCTCAATTGGTAAGCCGCGCCTCCGCAGGAAAAATCTGACGGTAAAATTTGGCGCGCTTGCGGGCTATCCAAGTCCGTCTCTCCAGTACTTTTCTCCCATATTTTCGCGCCTTTTTGACCGCTCGCGTGCATCGCTATTTTCAACCCCTTGAGAGACGGACTTGAACCAAGTCTAATTTTACATATATATGGAAATTCTCCCGAAAATCTAGAAAACCAAAGGCAAAGTATGGAAATTGTTTAAAATTTTCAATGGAATATGCAGTTCAATGGGATGTTGCGAGACTTTCTACCCTGGATTCCAGAGCCTTCGACAGTAAATAATAAATTGAAGTGTCGCGAAGGCTCTGGTTCAACGGGGCGATTCTTTGATTAAGCCGCGCCAATCACAAAACAGAATTAGTGGTTTTAGTACAGAATCTGTACTAAAACCACTAATTCTGTTTTGTGATTGGCGCGGCTTAATCAAAGAATCGCTCCGTTGAACCAGAGCCTTCGCGACACTTCAATTTATTATTTACTGTCGAAGGCTCTGGAATCCAGGGTAGAGACTTTCGGGACAGCGTTTTTTACGCTTTCCGGAAGTCGAGCAACATCCCAAGTGCATGGATGACGCCAACCTCGTTCCCAGTGTCTCACCTCCGTCCTCGGGGCGTGGCGAAGGTGCGACCCTGCACAACAGGTGGGCAATTTGTCTGAGCATGCGCGAAGAAAATCAATATGGCGACATATATTAGGAGTGTTTCGTGAATTTATCTGGTTTTAAAGCTGATAAAACAATATTTTAATGAACGAAAACTTTGTAATATTTAGTGGAAAACTTTAAGCTATGCATTCCAAAGGTTTTAAATTGAAAATAAGTACTTTTGCTTTATTTTATCGCTTTTTATGCTTTGAAAACAGGCAAGCTCATTTTTTGGCAAAAATGTAATCTAATATTTTACCCATCATTTGTTTAATCTGAACATAAATAGATAGAACACTTGGCTATATAAGTTACAAAGGTATTGTTAGCTTATCTGAAAGATTTCAGTATCCCTGGTACACATTTTAACAAAGAATGAAATGTAATTTCAAAAATTTAATATGCATATCACAAACAATAGTTTTTATTAGAACAACACATAATAAGTTGTTATTTTCTATTTTTACAATAACATGTTTGGAAACAGGATTTAGTCCTCCAGCTTGATGTCATATTCCATTTATTTGGATATTTCAATAAAGGAATGTGAAATAATAATTTAATCTTGTGCAAAATTTGATACCAACACACATGTGAACAGATACTATCACCTAAAAATAAAAGAAAACAGAACTTAAATTTATCATCTAATGCTATGAAAAAAATCTTAGATACTACAGGCATATAGTGAGCACAATTCTTTAACAAACTCACTAAAATAAGTTAAGTTATACTATGATAAGAGGATGGCAATAGATAACAACATCAAATGTTGTCATCTTCAGTGTCCAAAAAAAGTGCCGCGCGCATTTTTTGTGGTCGCATAACTGGTATTGCCACAAACCCAGGTGAAAAAGCAATTAGAAAAACCTGGTTTTGGGTGATGAGCATAGTCAAATTCTTGACTTATTCAATTTTCTATGTTTTTCCAGGTAAACAGATTAAACATTGAAATAAGCCACATTCGGGACCTCATAGAATCCAAACTATTGTGTATGGACCAGACTTTTTTCAATTTTCTGTGATTTACATAACACTAGTTATAATTTAAGGGTCAACCAGTATTGTTCAAGACATATTTTCCTTCCAGAACACCTTTTCAAAATATTAACCCAAACATATCAAAAATAGTGTACATTTACAAGGGCAATTTCAACCCTCTGGCACATTTTTCCCATGAATGATTTCAATTCTAATAAAAAGACTATAGATAAAACTTTGATTTAAAGCTAGTTTCAAGTGATGAGCATACCCTAATTTTTAAGCTATACCTCAAAGAAGATGGGCCATTTCAACATAAACATTGAAATATGGGTATACTGACAGCTCTGTCACACGTGTAGTTTGACATTAGCAGCCCTTCTGAAACATTTTAATGAAAGTACAATTCACAAAATTCACATTTTCACTTACTTCTTAACATCTGTTTTAATCCAACTAGCTCTGTAGGCACGAGCGAAATTTAGTGTTGATGTAAATATCCATTTAGTTCATGTTTCCCCGGTGAAAATATAGTCTATTCCAAAGCTGATTTCGACGTACTTTAGCTTTTCAGAAACCGTTGGCCTTCCTCAGTGAGATTATCTACTGTTTCACAAATATATTTGATAGTAAACAGCTAAAATATTCTCCGAAAGTCTATATTTTAGCTCTTCGACGCGAAAATGGCAACTCAAGAAGAAATGAGCCGCTATTTTTGGTCAGCGTCGACAAATTGCCCACCTGTTACCCTGCACTAAAAAGGTTGGCATGACGCTATCCAGCACAAAAAACGATTTGGTAATTGTTTTATAAAAATAATTATGCAGTGAAACAACGGTTCACTTTATTAAAACTTTAACTTTATTTAAACGTTATTTAATTAAACGATTTAGTTTATTAACTTTATTATAGCTTTATTAACGCTTTTGTTAACTTGTCTCACGTTTACGACTGTCACTTAGACGGATATTTGTATAATCTAATTTCTACTGTAATGCGTCTGTAAAGGTTAACGGGTGTTTGTGGGAGGGTGGTTATTGTATGTGGTACTATGTACATATAACTGTACCATTCGCAAATCTAGTTTTTGGGGCCAAGTATTAATTTTCTTTCATGCATATAATCTATTTTATCTCAGGTGATAACAGAGAAAGCAGACTACAGACAAACTGAGGAAGCTCAACCGTACGCCCAGCTCAGCGTCAGAAGCCAAGAGTGGCGATTCACAAATATTCCATCCCATGGAATCAAAACCAAAGAGAGTCACGAGAATAAGAAGACCAGACCAACCACAAGATCCACTTCAAATTCAGCTTCAGTTAAAGTATGGTGACAAAATAAGGTATAATTCATCGTTGTAATTATTTTGAAAAGTAAATTGGAGATCGAGCGCAGGAAGGCTGCTTTTAAAAACCACTCTAAAAATGGCTTGTGCACAAAAGTGGAAGGTTTAAAACGTAGTTGTATTCATTCACATGAAATTTCTGGCATCTAACAAATCCTTCAAAATAAGGTGCGCCCTCGATCTTCCCAACGGGCAAAACGACGTTTATTCATCGTTGAATCAACGTCGGAAATTAATATCACATCCCAGAGTTGGATAGACGTTAAAAAAGGATTGAAAATGCAAATTGGATCGACGTTACTCTTTTGACGTTGAAACAACGTTGAGATTAGGTTGCCAATCTCGTCAACAATAATTCAACGTTGAATCCGCGTTGAAATAACGTTGAGATTACAAGTTGACGTCGTATTATGAACCATACTAGGGAGCTTAAGCATGTAGGACGGCAACACGACGACGACGGCCAAAACAAATTCCTTCAAATAAATTATAGCAAAGAAAACTTGTCGTATATTATAATTCGTATGAATAGCTGAAGAATAATATATGTTATAAGAAGCTGAAAACATTGGCTTATGTTTGGGAAGAGTTCTACTGACCGAATTTTAAGTTGCACTTGTTGCGACTTGAAATGCAGGCGTTGTATAAACGACTTGAAAATCTGTGATTTACCGTTGTAAACAGAACGACAACCACGTCTGAAACTCCCCTGGGACTTCAATTATTTCTTTCTTTTCATTGACTCGTTGTATTGGTTGCCGTCGTCGTCATGTTGCCGTCCTACATGCTTAAGCTCCCTAATGAATAGACCGGCGTTGATTAATTCGACGTCTGTTAGCTGCTGTTGAACTAACGTTTGTAAAACAATATCGGAGCAACGTTGATATTAGGTTGTCGACGTCACAAGCTTTTTCTACCAAATTTCAACGTTGAAAATAACGTCATGTTACTGACTATTGTAATTTTCTTTTACGTTTTTCTCGTGATTAATCAAATTTTCGATACTTTCTAGAGAGAAAAGTGGTCAACTGAAAGGATGGCGTTTTTCTCGGTAGCCAAAACTGAAAAGCCGTACCGGCGAAATCGTTCAATGGTCAAATGCCAAGATTGAAATACGAAAACAAGACTCTGCTGGACAGAAATGAAATTAGTTGCAGAAAATAACTTCGAAATGCTCCGAGCAAGCTCTGGAGTCAAGGTAATTAATAAATTCCAATAATTATACAGAGAAATTATTATATTATATGTAAAATGAAATATTTTTATCCCGAGTGACAGAGCTCAGAAAATTGTCCTATTCAAATTCTGAATTTTCAACTGATTATGGCATATGCAATATACTCTAATACATGGAGTAATAGATTGCTTAAATTAAGATCTACGACGTTGACGTCAGCTAGGACGCCAGTGCTAAGCAAAGGACTGGGACTAGGACGTCGTCCTAAATAAACTTCCACTTAAGCTTCACGACGTCGACATTTAAACTATAAATATCTACATTCTTTTGAAAATGAATTTTAAAGAGCACATGAATTCATTACCGTTTGTTATGCTCTTGTATCTACGACGGTAAAACTCTTGTTGTGAGGTTGTCGACGTTTGGTGGACGACGAGCAAATTGAGAGAGAGTCATGCACACTTCAAAAACTATTGCCGATTTACTTCCGCTTGCCGCCCTAAATATTTGACGTCGTTGATATTGAGCAATCTAATTATTTAGGACGACATCCTAGTCCCAGCCCTCTGCTTAGCCCTGACGTCCTAGCTGACGTCGACGTCGTAGATCTTAAGCTATCTAATATCTTTGATAAGAAAAATGATGAGCTCCCGATTAATTTTAATACAGGTTTGAACGATTTCATCAATTTTGAACAATTACCTCTGAAAATTATTTGATCATATCCGATTGTAATGTCGTAGATTTTCCCCTATATTTGCCAAAATAACTAAACTATATCCGAAGAACGAGAAAAAAATGAAGAAAATTGTAAAATAACTGATTAGTTACAAGTTTACGAGTATGGTGAATTTTGTTGCCCGTGTACATCAGATTGAGTATGCTAAGATTTTATATAAGCTAAATTTAATTATCAATTGGACCGATTTTCTGAGCCAAATAATTTAATATTAATAATGATCTATAAAGATGCGTGTACATATAAAACGTATAAATATATAATATAATATAATATAGATTAAATATATTTATTTATGAGTGTGAATATTGACCATTGTATAATATTATAAAATTAATAGTTATTATTAGAATTATTATTTCGTATGCATTGTCGAAATAAATATAATGAATATAGAGTAATAGAAAAAATACGTATTTATTTAGCATCACTATATAAGTATATAATATAAATAAACACATAATGTAATTATATAATGCGTGAATTCTATATTTTCAATAAGTTAATTTATTATAAGTTGTGATATATTTAACAAACAAAAAGAAATATTTGTATATACAATTTGGATTAATTTGAACTGCACATGCATATAGTTAATGTAGATATAAACACTAAATAATTATAAAAAGATTGTAATATATTTTAAATGTATAAGTCCAATTTTTATCCATAATTTGAAATACTATTATTTGTTCATTTTTTTATTTTGAATAATGAATTATCCAAAAAATGAATTTTGTCTGTTGTTTTATAATAGTATTGGTGTTCATGAAATGAAATTTTTCTTGCTAGCTAGTTAGGGAAGTTTACCGTTTGATAACGAAGAATGGCAATTTCAAGTATATTTAAGCATAGCGGCATAGGCGTACGAGATGGGGGGGGGGGGCAGGCAGGGGCGGACTGGCCTATACGTAGTTCACCGGGAAATCTCGGAAAGGGGGCGCCGCTTGTAGCCATAACGTGAGCAACAACTATATAGAAATTGTGTGCAAACTGTGCATTTATATTTCGGATCCATATTTCGGCGTGAAACATATGCACAAAAACAACATTTGGCATTTCGCCTATTGTCGAAACCGCTGCTTTACAAATAAATAAAAATGGTTAACGAACAGTAAAACGACTTTATTTTATTTCATAACAAGAATTTGACGTAACACTGAAGAGCCTTTAGCTAAAATAGCAATAATGTCATGTACGGTAATGTTATCAAGCAAGTCCTTCTCGCTTGTCATTAGCATTACAGTTTCCAACTTATCATTCGCTAAGTTTGATCTTAATCTAGTTGATATTTGTTTCAACTTGCTAATGGGCGGACCATTAGAAAAGTTATGGGTCCACTTTGACGATTTTTTTTTCAAAATTTTTTGCTGTGTCGTTTATTTTTTTTTTTTTAATAATCCCTTGCTCGAATTTTTTTTTCAAACATTTCTGGAGCACGAATTTTTTTTCTTTCTATTTTCCCTGCTCGATTTTTATTTTTGCTTTTGCCTCCCCCCCCCGCATAACTTTTCTAATGGTCCGCCCATAAATGCCCTTTCACAGCTAACTTAGGTAAATGACAATGTCAACAAATGTTCGTACGCGACAAACAAATTTGTTAGGGCTGAAGTGTTGAGTGAGTACTTGAAGAGGATTTTATGACAGCATGCAAGACACTTTTTACAGTTTCCTTTGCAAGCTGCATTTCGATTTCTTAGTATTGGATTCTTGCTGAACCTTTGCGTTGAATTTGGGCAGATTCACAATATCATTCAGTACCTTTAGGCTTTAGCATGGTACTTTAGTACGGACCAAAAGTTGTTTCTAATGCTGCCTGCTTAGACCACCATCAAGTGTCACCAATCTTCTGTAATTTCTTTAGCTTTGCCGAACCAACTGCTTCGTCAATCATTACCCTGCTCCAAACATCCATTCGTTTGCACGAATCTGAAAAAACGTTGCAGTGCTTTGAAGCAAGCCAATCAAATTTTTCACTTCGGTTATGTTTTCTACCATATCTGTAGCGGCAAGGTTTAGCACATGAGCATAGCACCATATGTACACCGAATTTGACGAAACGTCTCTGATCAGCTTCTGTACACCTCCGAACTCCCCACGCATATTTGATGCTCCGTCAAATGATTCACCGATAATGTTTTCCATCTTTAGACCTTGTTGCTGAACATTTGTCTTCAAAAGTTGAAAAACGCCAGCTGCTGATGCATTATAAACTTTTTGTACGGAAAACAAACGCTCCTTGACTTCCAGGCCAAGAACATAAAGCAATATTATTGTTTCCTGTTCCACCATTGCGGTGTCTTGTGTACCATCCATCTGTGCTGAAAACTTCTTTTCTCCAATCTCTTGAATAATTTTTGATTTCATGATGTTTAAAATTGCTAGCAAAATCTTGTTAACTGTGGATTTTGAAAGCATTGTTACTAAATTTCCACGTCCACGACTATTCTGCTTGCCTTTTCGTTTCAAATTTTGTCGTTTTTTCTTACTTCTATCAATTACTTTGTGTACATGGCTGTTTAAAGGTACATCAAATTCCGAAATCAAAAGGATTGTTTCTAAAAAATTACCATGATCAACTGATCTATCATCTAAAGTGTATGAAGACTCGTTTCGGTTTCCTCTGAATGACAAGGATCGTTTAGCAAGGTATTTGATTACAGATGCTATTCTTTCTAAGACACGAATATTTTCTTGAACATTGCGCCGTCGAGCATTAACCATTTCCGAATTAGTGAGAGAACTTATATCTTTGTTAGACTGGGCGTGGACAAATGCCATTACTGAAGAATTATGTGTCTTGGATGACTCATGATCAGAGATTCTTTCGTATATATGTGAATACTGAGTAAAACCATGGTAAAAGCAGAAGAAGATTCAGCAAAAGCCAGACATATATTGCAATAAACACCCTTTACCTCGTGATCTATAACTTGTACGGTGATCCATTTACGATCAACGTACTTCTTTTCCTGCACTTTCCGTTGGTACACTCGCTTAGGATCAAAAGTAACTTGTGGACGGCTGCAATACCTGGTTGATAACAATTACATTGCTACTTTCTGATGAATCGGCGTACTGCTTGAGAGTTTTTGAAAGTGATCTTTACTGTCATCTATCTTTGCACGTTCGTTTATCATTGGTTTTATCACGTATTTCTGGCGTAAAATCATCTAAGGTTTTTTCTCGTTCTGACGAGTTCTGTGTTAAACATCAATGACCATTAGATTTTTTAGACAAATAATCTGTAAAACGCCACAATCTAAGGCCAACAATGAATTCTGATTTCTAAAATTAAAACCTGTGCGGCAAAAGTAATCACCCTATATCAAAATACGTTCCAACTTATTTTTGAGACCTTGGGAAATATTTCCCTTTACGGACATGGCAGGCCGTAATTAACTTACTGACCTGCATACTGTATAACGCAAGAATATTTCATAAGCAGTAAACCAGAAATAAGTAATTATGGTAAAGTGCATGAGGCATATTACATGAAGTAGAGATATAGGTAATTGAATATAGACCGGAAGTAATCAAACGCATTAACGCAATAGAATTGATAAATAAATAAATAAAGTTAGGTTTCCCTTCACCTCTACTGAGGCATTGAAATTGAAAAATAAGTGTAAGATAAATATAAGCAGTTAACTTCTAGACTTTCTATTTCCAAACCAACCAAAAACAACACAAAAACAAATATTGCTATGTGGACATTATCGCCGTTATATAAAAATTATATTTAAAAAGAAAATTAAAAAACGCAGTTGATTCAGTAGAACTTGATGGGTTCATGAAGTAGATCATTGTTATTACAACTTTCACAAGATGTTGAAGGTGAAAAACATAATTGTTGCTGCTTTCGATCAGAACCGGCATCAAGCAATGCCTGTTTTCGCTTTTCCTTCCTTCTCTGCGCACCGCTTTTCTTGAGAGCCCTTTCACGTTTGTTTATCCATTTAAATCATGATTGCAAACTGAGTCTGTGTAGTACATAATTTCCATCCGAATTCCGAACATATAAACCAATGTAAATTTAAAATATTGTTTTTCTTGTTTTAAAAAACTATTGCTTCCACTTTGTCAATAATAATTTCCCCTCTGATTATGAAGTATATAACGTAAAAATGATTATTATATTATTCATGGGCGCGAATTGCATATAACGATTGCGGTTGTTGCGCTCAACTAGTTTTGCTCAAAGTTATCTTTTCATTATTTTACTTCGTTTTATCATTTCCTTCAAAATAACATATAAATTATCTACAAAATTCCAAAATAGGGGCGCCAAAGAACATGTTAATCAGGGGCGCACCGGAAAATTTCCCGGTATCCCTGCGGGTCAGTCTGCCCCTGGGGGCAGGTACTGTTGTTACAAAAACATGATATATAATTTGGGCATATGCTAGCAAAAAGATCATATTTTTAAACCAAAAATATTTCGAATAAAGCAAAGAAATTTAAACGAAAGACATTCGAATTTCACTGCATGTTTTGAGACCTGAGATGCTTGGTTGCAAGCGGTACAAAAAAGTAACGGCGCATACGGTTGTGTTCACACGAAGCCGCCAAGCGCTCCTGCCTCACAGGCTGCGAATTGTCGGGGCAATTTTTAGTCCACGTTTATGTTAATTTCTTGTAAATTTCGTGGCAAGTGTTGTTGCATATTACTCAGTAAAAACATAATCACCATTATGATTATATTACATTGAGCAAAATATCGGCAATTTACTGGGAATTTTGTACTAAACCAGAGGTACTAAGGTTAGCACTATTTTCCATCCAGCAAACTGACTTGCGGCTGACGTCATTTTCGGAAGATAGAAGAGGTGTTAAAATTAAATGGTTATGTAACCAACCCAAACCCTACTCTAACCACTAACCCTAACCCTAACCGCAACTCTAACTCTAACCCAAACCCAAACCGAATTAATTAAAAAAATAGAAAAACGACTTTAGAAAATTGAAAGGGCGGTTTGCTGGATGGAAAAAAGTGCTAACCAGGTACTAAACAAAAGCTAAACGAAATTTCAAACAATCTCGAAGGGAAGTTTCTTTTCCTAAGTGGAAGCACGAAATCTCAACTCGAAAAGCACGCTGGGAAATCACTCGAAAGTGTTCAATGGAGCCATTCCTCTGAGATTTTCCTGGATAGAAATGCTTTGTATTTTTTAAATTTGTGGCCAGAAAACAAACAGATTGTGCATTTTCAAGCGCTTCTTGTGTTTGGTTTGAGACTGTAGCGATGATTGGTGGGGTTTTCGTGTATAATCACAAGGGGGAAGTTCTGATATCTCGTGTTTTCCGTGATGATATTGGGTGAGTCTCTGTCTATAATCTATATACAGAATACAGTGTGCACTATTTCAACATCAACCATCAGTTATCAAAATGAGAAAATGATTTGACAAAAATTATTTTCATTGTATGTTGTTGTGTTGTACGTACATTAGTGACAAATGGATAGTTGTGAGAGTTGTAGTTAATATTTGATTTAATTGTTTCTGGGACTGCAAGTGTCAACATTTCAGACTGAAATCAACCATATAAAGTATATGAACAAGACTCCTCAGGGCCATTCCATTCAGTATCTACACCCCCTTCCCAGTTCCGATGTGGTTCAAAATTTCTTAACCCTTACTCTCGATTTCAATTTGGTTTTGAAATCCAACTTTGAATGTTTGTTTGTAAGTTCGGAATGTTTGTTGTATTAACATTCCATAGCTTATTCCAATGATGTATGATAATCAAGCTTTGTAAGTTGTAGTTGGCTAGTTAAATAAGCCAGCCAATCAAATTGCTTACTATTGAATCGTTGTAAATCATTGGAACGAACTTTGGAACAAATTTCGGAACATTTATTTGCAAAGAACGCCCTAAAGGTTACAAACAAACATTCAAAGTTCTATTTCAAAAAAAAAAAAATCAAGAGTAGGAAATTCCTTTCATACTATCCTCCAGAAATTGTGTATATTTACTCTTTAGTTAGGCCTAAAAAAATACCTGTGGTTCCGGTTCCCGACCGACCCTATTATTTTTTCAACCCGATTGACAGTTTATTTTCTCTGAGTGGTTGCGGGCTGCTGCCAAAATGGTGTCTGTTGTCACACTAATTATTGAAAAAAAACATAAATAAATATTCAAAAACAAATTTATTTCCGACCTACCGACCCTAATTTTTTCGCGATATGAAACCAGAACCACAGGTATTTTTTTTATGCCTTATTTAACAATTGAATTCTAAAGAAACAGTAGTTGCAAATCCATTGAGTGTCAGCGCTCTTCTCGTGATGAGTAAAATTGTCTGGTATTAGACAAAGTAAAATAAAGTAGGGTGCAGTGCAACTTGATGGGTTGAAGACCCCTTAGAATTTTAGACTACGTTCACACTACACTGTCGACAGCCATTTCACAGAAATGACAAATCAATGCCAAAAATTTAAATTAACACAATAGCCACTACAATGCTATTTCTAGTTGCTACACGACCTTACCCTCATCAAATCATAAAATTTTTTGCTCATGGTTGTCCCTAGGCATTGTGGGAAAGGTGTTTAGAACAACAATTATTATGCAGCAATTAGAACAAATATTGTTCTTTTTTGAAAAAGTACATTTTGGGGGGATAAGAACAAGCAGTGTGGATTATAACGTTTTTGCTTAGGTCTGACAAATGTCCGATTAACGAGACTGTTGCTCGGACACTGTCCGAGAATGGTCAGCCAACTATTTCAACCATTTTTACGTGACAGTGCTACAGATCGACGTACCATTATTGATTGCACGTTTGCATGCAGAAAAAAGCTTGGCGTATACGCCAACTAGCAACGTCCTCCGCGCCTTCACTTTGTTTGTGTTTCTTTAGGAAATAAAGGTATTTACTAATATATAGCTAGGCCTACGGCTTATAGAAATTAAACATATTTTTGTAAGTAGTAAGTATTGTAAACGCCGCCGGCTATGGACTGTAACTATCGAGATTCGGTCACTTGAGAGAGTATTTGCTAAAAGAGAAGCTCAATGACAATGTTTCCTCTGAGTGATTTTTTCATCCAAATATTTATTGATTGCATTACCAGTAGGCATAGTTAAAACAGTACTTTTCACATAAACTACCTTCAATTTAAATGAACAGTGTGGCATATTTTATTTGATCGGACAAAATGTCCGTGCAGAATGAAATTGATCGGCCATTTGGTGTTTTTGTTCGGCAAATAGCCGATTGCCGACCGTTATAATCCACACTGAGAACAAGTTTCTTTATTACTTTCTAGACACATGTGATTATTTTGCTATTTTAAAATATATTTAGGAAAAAAAATTTTCAAAATCAGGAATCGGCCTTGTTTTAACAGACATTGAAAACACCCTCATTTATGGGTCACATGAGTCACAAATTACATCATAAAGTTTACTTATTCCCTGTCAGCTTGAACTAATTTTTTGAGACAATCATAACTTGGTACTTTTATTTGGTACTAGAACCTATCCACAAAATTCTAAAAATATTATTGATAGTTTCTGAGAAAAATCACCCTCAAGTTTGGTCACATGAGTCACATAAATAAGAATTCATGTAGAATTGTTAGTTTTAGCACAAAATATGTGCTGGAAATGGTTCTACCAATTTCTTGATGAGTAATAGGTTTTTTTACTTGGGCAACTATGTTTTGCCAGGTTACCAAGGCAACAAAATTGTTTTTTCAAAATTTCAACTTGTTTACAAATTGCCAAAGGTTTCTCATGAATACAAATAAAAAAAAGCCACTAAGTGCAGCAGAAAGACAAGAAGAGAAGAGAGAAGCTTAAGAAAGAAGGTAGATATGAGGAGTATAAAGCTAAACATGCAAACACTGTCAAAAAGTATAGAGAGAAGCAGACTCTTAGACTATGTAGAAAGCCTTACTGTAGAAGAAAAAGATCAGTTAGTTTTAGAAAGAAGAGAGAAGGATAGAATTAGGAAGCAAAAGAACCGAGCAAAAACAGGAACAGTGTTAAGTCCATTAGGATCAGCACAGAGCTCTGGTAAAGCATATTGTCACACAAGTTCCCTAAATCAAGCTGTCAATGTCGTTAAAAAATCACTTCCAGCCAGTCCAAGAATGCGTTGAAATGTCTTGCGGAAACTTGCAGATGAATTTGGCAAGGATGAGGATGTTGCCACCAAAGCCAACAAACACCTATTATCACTTGCTGCTGAAACAATAGAGGCAGTGAAGAACTTTTACACTAGTGACAACATAAGTCGAATGGCTCCGTGGCAAGAGAGATGTTGTAACCATTAAGGACCAGGAAGGAAAGAAGAAATTGCAAAAGCGACATCTTTACATGAGCATCAAAGAAACATACGGGGTCTTCAAAGATGAGAATCCAAATGTGAAGATTGGGTTAACCAAATTTTCAACGTTGCATCCTCCAAATGTTCTCCTCAGCTCACAAACACCATCCAATGTCTGCACATGTGTTTACCACCAAAATATGTTCCTGGCATTAGATGCAATCCATAGTCATGTTCCTGGCATACCGGTTTACTCCACAGATTTTTCAGCTTCATGTGTGCTCAATCCAGAGAGTGATTTATGTTGGTTTGCCAACTGTTCACATGATGGTTGTGGCTTTGAAGAAAAGTACCCATTACCTGACACTGTTAAGAACTTACCACCAAAGTGGATGAAATGGCAAGAAGCAAATGGAAGACTGGCCAAGCTGGAGAACACGGGAAAAGTCCAAGATTTGTACGACCACATCTGCTCCATGTCAAAGAAGTTTTTAGCCCACTGCCACATCAAACGCCTCCAATCAAAGCAATATGAGCTGGATAAAGAGCTGGATAAAGAGCTGGATAAAGAGTTGGCTTCATTGCAGGACAGTGATATTGCAGTATTGCAGATGGACTTTGCAGAAAATTATGCATGCATAGCTCAAGATGAGATCCATTTGGCTCACTGGAACCAAAATCAAGTTACCCTCTTTACCACTGTTACCTGGCTCAAAGGTGAAGTGATGTCCAAGGTGATTGTAAGTGACTGCGTGCAACATGCAAAGTCCTCAGTCATGGTATTTCTTGTTGAAAGTCTGAAAAACCTGCCTTCAACTTTCAAAGAAGTGAGAATCTGGACCGATGGACCATCCAGCCAATTCAAAAATAAATTTGTGATGGAAGGGATGAGGATGCTTTCAAAGAAGTATGGAGTAAACCTTGAATGGAATTTCGGTGCTACTAGTCATGGGAAAGGTCCTGTCGATGGTATTGGTGGGTGCTTAAAGAGGAAAGCGACCGACAGAGTTAAGATGAGGCAATGTGTCATCAATAATGCCACAGATTTCTTCAAAGCTGTCAACGAAGGATCCCAGATTGTAGTTACCCTCATCACAGCAGAGGCAGTGCAAGCAAGAGAGAAGAGCCTTGGCCTTCCAGATGTCTTTGCAAAATGCAGCCCAAATACAGGGGATAAGTCAGTATCACTGGGTTGGAATCAATCATAAGGGCGAGTTAACCACCAAATGGTACAGTGCAGCAGAAGTTTCAACAAACAATGTCATAGATGAATCATCAGACCTTGAAAGTAGTGATTGTGACAGCTGATCAACCCAAGATGTTATACCAATTGCAACAGAGATTGGTCAGTGGTATGCTGTGTACTGGAGACCAAATAACTATTGGTTTATTGGCAGAGCATTGCAAATTGAGTTGGATGGGCGGGTCACTATGCAATTTGTACATCAAACAGCCGAAGACGTAAATTGTTTTAAACCAACCAATGACATAGACACAGTTCCTGCATGTGACATTTTGATTAAAATAGAATCACCAACACCACTTTCCGCTTCTAGATGCTCTACAGTAAAGTTAACCGATTCCGAGTACCAACATGTTCAAGAAGCTTTCAGAAGCAAAGTTGAGGACATGTGATCGATAACATTTTGTGGCTTGTGAAAGTGTTTGATACCTTGGGGTTTAAAGTTGAGCAAACATTAGATGTGTTCTTGATTAACTGGCATTTTCACGAGAAATTTTTAATATATCAGTTTCTACAGGGTTTCTAGGTATAATTTGTTATTGGTCACGTGAGTCACATTTTTTCTCACGTGATTCATGCCATGGAGTAAGTTTGATTGAACATCCATAGTTCTGTTGACTATGATGCTAACCTAGCCAAAAATTGTTCATTTTACATGTTGTAAACTGAGTTAATAGGTTTTATTTGTCACTGGTCACGCGAGTCACATTTTTGTGTCACGTGAGTCACACTGCATTTGTATGATCATTTGTTAAACAAAAGATGATTTTCAAAAAAATCAATTGATAGTGATAGTGTCATGTCCCAGTATACTTTTTATGAAAGTTAGAAAAATATAAAATTATTACTTTGCCAGGAAAATAGATAAGAATACCATTGGGTAGAATTTTTTGTTTTCTGGCTGTCACGTGAGTCACAAAAAGTAAATGGGTATATCTGAGGCTGTGAGTACAATTATCAGGAATTAAACGAATCATCGTGAATATCTCCCTAGGGTGTTTCTTGCCTGAAGTGAGTTTAGGTTTTGCTAAATCAGACGTGGCAGAAACGTGCATTTAAATCCTAAAATTTTGTGACTTTGTGATGTCACGTGAGTCACGGTGAAATGGCTAGCGAAATAATGCCAGAAGAATTTACGTGTTTTTTTGAAAAACCGGTTTTTCGGTTTTGCCAAAGTCCAAGCACAGAAAAACTGGAAAAGACAAAGAAACGGAAAACGAGATAATAACGCATGACTCATCACACTCGTGGGCACGACCAAAGAAGGTAAAACTTAGCCTTGAAGCTTTGACTAGCTTAAAAAAGCCACAACAACAAACGCCAGCTCAGCTACCTCGTGATCGTTTGTCAAAAGAAATCAAACGGTGCCAGACGTATCCCCGTAATTGACTATGATGAAGATCCGCTGAAGTGTTGGCAGAGAAACGAAGTTGATTTCCCAGTGCTCTGTCAGCTTGCCCGAAAGTATCTTGCGATCCAGGCTAGCAGTTCTCCATCAAAACGATTATTTAGCAAGGCAGGACTGGTCAGTACTCCATCTCGAGCAAAATTAAAACCAGAAAAAGTTGACATGCTTACGTTCCTAGCTGAAAACTTGTAAATTAATACGTTCTTTTAACATTGTCTTCTTACTGATATATTTATAACTCTGTAAGCTTTTGATATTAAGCATCTAAAACCAGGGCTCGAAATAGCGGGCTGCCATGCAATGGCCAAAAGCAGGCCATATTTTAGAAATGGCAGGCCAAAACAAATTTGAACTGCCAAAGAAAAAAAATGGCAGGTGAAATTCTATAGATATATTTCAACTCATATATACCAGATCATTCAGTTGACTAAATTATCTAAATACGTTTATATTTGAAATGTAATTCCAAGTTTACTGTAGTAAAATAGACAAGTTTAAATATAATAAAAATGCATATCATGAAAACATTGATTTTTACAAGTGTGACTCATATGAGACATCGCCATTTTGGCAGTTCAATGAATAAAATGGCACTATGGCAGGGTAAAATTTATTTCACCTGCCAAAAAATTTTAGACTGGCAGGCCATCTTTTTTCTCTACTTTGAGCCCTGTCTAAAACTAAAATTCTTCACATAATAAAAACATGTGCTACACTGTGTTATTTACAGATAAAAAAAATGGTTTTTCGTTTTTTTCTTGACGGTTTTTGGTTTATGTTTTTATTTTCAAGAACCGCCCCAGCCTATGTGGTTACACTACGCCATTACAGTTTGTTTACAAATTAAGTTAGCACTTACAGTATGTAAACCCAAAATATTTCAAATAGAGCAAAGAAATTTAAATAAAAAGCATTCCACTTTACTGTTTTGAGACCTGAAGTGCTTGGTTTGCAAGCGGTACAAAAAAGTAACGATGTGTATGTTCACTCGAAGCCACCTGTTTTCATCTTGAGCACTCCATTTAGAAAGCGTGCTGAAATTGTTATGGCAAGAGTGACGTCTTCAAACAATATTGCTTCATTGTAAAGTGAACGCGACGGCTAATTGTGACTTTTCTGTGCCGTTTTCAATCCGCTCCAGCGTACTGAGCGTAGTATGAACGTAGTCTTTTAAGAGTTTAAAAAAACTTATTTGCTGGGTTTGAAATTTATTCATTCGTTCATAATTTATTTGATAAAGCTAGCAGGTTAACCACAGACAGGAGTTTCAGAATAAGCCGGCGGCCGCCGGAGTTCTGCCGGCTACTTGAACTTTTACCGCCGGCTACTTTTCGTCTGGTCACAGGAAAAATTTTACATACAAAGGTACAAGCGAATCAACACGATGTTTGTTATGTTCCAATTGGAATTCAAACAAAACATCACTTATTTTGGAAGATCAATAAGATCAATAATACATAGTACCAAACATAGCTTGCTTTCTTAAGTTGCTGTCGAAAACGATAATATAAACCTTCTCTGTTTTCTCGTCGCCATCTTGAATTTCGTAGCAAATGGTCAGCGGCTCTGAATCTTCCTGAACAGGAAGATGACTCTGATTGACTCTGTCAGATGATTTTACTTGTCAAGGAGAGAGTGCTGGCACTCATTGGGTTAACCGTCTAAGTTGCTTTCTACCCTAATGTGCCCTACTTTATTATTTTACTCTGTCTAACGCCAGGCGATTTTACTCGTCAAGGGGAGAGCAGGGCCGTAGCGAAGAGGCCAAAGCAGGCGGGGTGTAGTATCGCATTTGCCGGCAACATTTCAGTCGCTAATTAATCTTTCTTTTCCAAAAATTGTTGGCCGTTATTTTGCTGAGAAGATGTTTTCAGAGGGGGGCGGGTGTCACACCCCACACCTCCCCCTATAGCGACGGCCTTGGGGGAGAGCTTTGGTCCTCAATGTTGCGTTAAGAGTCGTCTCAAGTCGGCTGGTCCATCATTTATGGAAACTATAAACTTTTCAAAGTCTATAGATGTTTACAATCAGGCTAAAATGAAGGTTGGGAAAAGAAAAACCTACTAGGATAAATTTTCAAGTATTTTGAGTTCTCATGTCATGACATGTGACTAACTTCTATCGGTAGCTTTAACGTTCAAGTCTGTTTGTTCATCCCTTTCCTTGTTTGTTTTACTGTACTTGTTTGTTTGTTTACTTTTCTAAACTCATGCCATTCATTTTGTTCAATTAGGCGAAATTGCATCGACGCATTTCGTGTGAACGTCATCCACGCGCGTGGCTTAGTGCGTTCTCCCGTAACCAACATCGCACGAACGAGCTTCTTTCACACAAAACGTGGTAATGTTTGGATAGCTGCAGTCACGAGGCAAAATGTCAACGCTGCCATGGTCTTTGAGTTTCTCTTCAAAGTTGTGGAGGTTATGCAGTCCTACTTCGGGAAACTGACAGAGGAGAACATTAAGAATAATTTTGTTCTCATTTATGAATTGCTTGACGGTATGTTTGTTTATATTTGAATTGAATTTATTTAAAAATAGGCTTTACAACCAAATAAAGTTGAAATACACCTAATTTACATATAAAACGAATATATGTATAGCGGGTAATCATGCGATGGCGAGTACAATTAGGGATTAATAGTACTCGTGATGTTTGGAAATTTTTGCCAAAATTGGACGAGCCGCCAGGGCGAGTCCAATTTGGCAAATTTCCAAACATCACGAGTACTATTAATCCCTAATTGGACGAGCAACATCGCATGATTACTTGTTTATTATTAGCATGACAAAATTGGATACTTCTCAATGTCAACATTCTCAATGTCAACATACTTCTCAAACTTTCAACTAAAATTTGGTGCTTTTGTTCATATTTTCATTTAGTTCTTTACTTCTTTTGTTAAAGCAAAATTTGGTGCTTTTGTTCGTATTTTCATCTAGGGCAATTTCATTTCACCTTTGTGTTTAAAATACCTTTCCGCCAATTTGTTTGTTTTGGGAAAATCATTAATTGTACTGCAATACAATTAATGAAATAATTGTACTCCAATCAGCATCCAGTAATTTTGTCATGCTAATAATAAACAAATTTAAAAGCTACTTCGTTATAATCCATCACACATGAACCACTACTATATAGATCAGTGACATGAACTTGTAGGGATCGCATCCGGAAGTCAGCAACTTCCGGTAATTATAATCCCATATGACCTATGTTTGTCGTATTATTATCCGAAATATACAATATATTTCATTATACATTCTAATACTCTGTGAAAAGAACAAGCTTTGTTTTACAAAATGAGTGTAATTTTGAAGCCTAAAGTAAAGTGCTGTAGTTACTCTGTTACGAAGCGTCAAAGTTTCACAAATTTGCAGTTCGGCAGCCATTAAAATTAGACGGCCTCCTTCTTCAAACTATTTTCCGACAGTGAGCCCGACCTGAATACAGGTTACGAATAGCACCACCTTAAAGTTTGAAGCCTAATTGAAGATTCTTTTGAGCGATGTCGTTCATCAACTTTTCAAAGCGAAGACTTTTTATTTTAAAAGTTAATTTTGAAAAGACAGATACCACTCCTTCTGGGGAAAATGACAACAACGACAGGTATGTACAAAAACTTTGTGATTTAAGGTTTGTTTTGATATATAATTTGTTGGGTTTAACAATCGAGCTCACTTTCGGAAATTCATTTCAATTTAGGTAATTTCGCAAGTTCCCCATGCGCTCGTGGAAGTGTCACAAGCGGCAAAGAAATAATTTGATTGATTGCGCTTTTTGATAACGATGAAAAACCTGAATGGTAGGAAGGTAATGATAAAATATATTATTGTTTAATAAAATCATTGAAACAAGCTGTAATCTGAGGGGCAACCAAGAGGAAAATGTGAAGAGAAACGTTCTTGTGCTTGAACCAAATATTATCATCCCAGTGCATATTAAAACCCCCAAAAGAAGCATAATCAAAGTGCTTTCAAAAAACCCAGAGGGTGAGTGCACAGTTCGTTTACAGCTTTATAAAGAATCCAATCACACACATTAGTAGGCGAAGAGTGTCTTAGACTGGGAACCACTGAGCAGGCATGATATTCTGACTTCAAAACAGGAAAGTGAAAATGTATATATTGGAAGAAAATGTTGGGGGTGCTATATTCTGACCTCAAAACAGGAAAGTAAAAATGTATATACATCAGTTCTCATCGCAATAAGTCAATTCAAAGACAATGACTTGCATCAAAAATGGTGATTAATAAGCTGAATACAAATGCCACATTTAGCATTAACAAAATGGTGCTATTTGAAATACCTAACCAAACATATCTATTTTTCATTTTTACAGATTTAGTCAAAACATGGTGCATCAGATAACTGACCGTATACAATACAATACAATTCAATACAATACCATAGACAGGGTGAACAAGGGTGAACAGGTGTAAAAAGTGGTACAAGAAGAACAGTCCAGTTATAATACATAGCTCAGATATTTAGTGATTGACCGATAATCGGTATCGGCATCGGGCCGATTTTTGCCTTATCGGTAGACAATCGGAATCGTTAGAATTATCTATATTTGCGATTGTCTAAAACCGATTGTTGAGAAAATAGACACTTTAAAAATTATATATGCATTTAATAGTTTTGTTTGTGGAAACACCACGTAAATTTATTACTGCATAGCTTTCGATCCGTAAGCCCGGATCTTCATCAGTGCTAATAAGGGGCCGACCATTTAACTTTTGAGGTGGGGGTGGGGGTGATTTTGAAAATAAATTTCCTGCAAGGCTATTCTGAACAAAAAAAAATACCTGCAGTAACAAACTGAGGGGAAAATATCCTGCCCCATTATTTGGTGGGAAAAAAAATGTTGCAAAACAGCATGGTTGCAGGGATTGATTTGACCAGTCATAGAAGATCAGCTGGTTTGATTTTCAGGGACTAGTGTAAAGTTAATTTCTTGTTGGGAAACTCCTCAAAGTGCTGGAAATAGCTTATCTGAGCTTCAAGAAATCCAAAATTTTCTGGGTGGGGCATGCCCCCAGACCCCTCTACAGGCTCCCACCTATGGTGGTCGATTCGGTTGTCTCAGAATCCTAGGTATGGCCTGATCTGCTGCCCTATGGCGCATACTTATTAGTTAAACCATGCATATATATGCTGCAGGTAGCTGCAACGACACAGACTTGCCGACTGGAACTTCTCCAGGTCCCCCGCTAAATATGTCCCCTCCAGTTACACATCCTTACAGGGCCGTAGCAACGGGGGAGGCACAGAGTGCCCCAGCGACTAAAAAATGAAAAAACTATAATTAAAACTTGAAAAGTGTTATAATAAGCTAAAGTTCATTTATTCATGTTAAATGTAGTTACACTAATATAATTATATATATATAAGTGCACAAATGTCGTAGATTTGAACGTGAATTTGAAATAAAGTTAAACTTCCTGTTCAGATGTGTATTTACTGGCATATTTAGAATTTTTTTTTCAACGAAACTTAGACAAATATGCTTCTGATCGGCCAGATTTTTATTTGATCGGCAAAAAGTCGTGATTGCCGATCACCATGATCGGGAAAGTTGGGAACGTTATTTCGAGCCCAGATTACTTGTACCATAGAATGTCTAAAATTATGTCTCAGATGCTATTTTTCAGTAATAAATTGACTATTTTCACATTTCATATGTAATTTGAAGACGTCATACGGTTGCCATGGCAACGTTAAGTGTTCATCTGTATCGCCATTATGTAGGTTCGGGTATACTCTGAAAATTTCGTTTTGATCGGATGAAACGTCTAGGAGTTACGACCAAAAGGGTTTAAAAATCGGCTTAGAAACCATTGTTTTGGTGCCACGTTATAAATCCAGTTCTAATACAATAGACCTTACCGATTATTTTCTTTTACCCAATGGCCTCGTTTTCATGTCAAATACTTACTCATGTTTTGTGCTTGGTAGGGTTGAAAATTACTTTGTTATTGAGTTTAAGAACAGCACTGAAAAAACAAATTCGTCCTGGAAAACATGTTAATATAATCTTTATCTGCCCCTGACATGCTAAATGGAAACGGGGTCATTGGATAAAAGAGAATAATCATAAGGTCTATTTAACAATTAGACAACGAAGCCGAGTTGTCTATGAGAGAATAGTCAACGAGGCGAAGCCGAGTTGACTATTTGCTCAGAGACAACGAGGCTGAGTTGTCTAATTGTTAGTGATGGGCGATACCGAGTACTCGGTATTCGATACCATGCAGCGATACCACAAACAGCGGTATCGGTATCGATTACTGACGTAGTATCGTTCGATACTTGCACCCTTTTTTAAACGACTTGTTTAATTTCACTTCTTGGTTGAATAAGACTTAATGAACCACTAAAATAACTCTTAATATTCCAAATGTGGTGCGCCAAGTCATGTGTAGAAAATATTTATTACGTTTCGGGCTTTTGGTTTACATATAGCATTATTTAGGTTACATATACAGTAATGAAAAATGTTTTTCCGCTGACCGGCAGGTATCGAAAGTAGCCGATACGAGCAATTTAAGTACTCACTTCCGGTATCGAAAATTGAAATTTTGTGTTCATTTTGGTATCGAAATAGGTATCGGTATCGGCCGATACCGATCTTAAAAGTATCGGTATCGGTATCGAATTAAAAATCCTGGTATCGCCCATCACTACTAATTGTTTTAGTATAAACCACATAAAGAAAACGGAATTTTTCACTTGATTTTTATGTAAAATAATAACTTTTTAACGAAATGCTTTTTAACGAAATGCAACTACTCAGTGTTGCGAACTCAGTGTTGTGAGTTTCAAAAAAGTTAAAAAACATGTCGTAAAACAGTATAATAGTAAGGGGCCGTTATACAAACAAAATTTGGCTAATTAAAAGAAGGAAACAAGGCTTAAAAAGTCCATGCAAAATGGCTCCCGAATTGTTACTAAATAAAATTTACGTTATAAAAAGCCGAATAAAAATGCACACAAAAGAATCCGAATGTCGTTGAAATCTTTAAAATATCTGGAACATAAAGAGGCAAACCATTTCCATCATCTAGCCAGTATACATAGACAATAGTTTAGATTAAAATTTAATCGAAAAACTCCATTAAAAAGGCTCGAAAAAGGCGAAAAACAAACTCGACCAAAATCTCAACATTTAAACAGAAATAAAACTCTTTAAAATGATAGCTAAATACACGAAATCGTACTAAAAAAAAAGCACACACTAAAGAGGTTGAGAAAATAAGGGTAAGTAGCTACAAACTATTGTTTACTTGAAAAAATCGGCGCCTGTCACTGTCACTTCCATGTTCAAAACTACAAGCAAAATTGAGAAAACTTAAAAATTTTACCGTATGTGTGAGCAGTTTCCAAGAGTCTTTGATTTTGTGTAATCCAGAACAAAAATTAGGCCATTTTGATAATCTTTTTCCCCTTAAATGCAGCTTCTAATACTTTAAAACGGCCATTGACTCTCGCGCCCTTCGCCGCTTGTTGCTACCAGTAGGCTATCACTAATAGCCTACTAGTAGCGTAGCCAATCAGAACGCACGATATATGATGGCCTACTAGTAGGTTTATACTAATGTCTAATGTCTGTCTTCCAAAATATGCGCGAAAATTCCGATATTCAAATTGCCAAGAGTTTGGATTCCCTGGACCGATTTTGATGAAATAAACACCAAAATGTTTCAAATAGCGAGATCTATTAAAAATAGGTACGCTAGGCGTACATGTATCTGCGCAAAATGTTTACAGTTTGTGGTCACTGTCAGGGCGCGAAATAACGGCTGGAGGGTCACCGGCCAACTCAATTTTAGCTCGGACATACCGAATATCTGGCCGGTCAAGTAAAGTATACCCCTAAAATTGTGACTATTTTCCCCAGTATAGCATTATAAAAAGCCTAGCCTGATAAAACAGCCGCCTAGTATTGCTCGTTCCTCCCAAAGGAGGAACAGTTGAAGCTGTTAAAGCGACTACACTTCAACATGGCCACAAGGCCGGCGAGATTTCAATCAAACAAATCAATTTTTCATTATTAAATGTATTTTTGACATTGAAGTTACCTTCATATAAACTTCATACATGTTTGGGATTGAATTCAGCGCAATCTGCTTTGCGTGCCGTTGGTTTCCTTCTCTGTCTGCTGGAATTTCATAATCAATGCGTCACGTGCAGTCATCAAAACAGACAAGAAGAATCGCCGCGCAATTACGAAACATGTTTTACTACGTAGTGCTACAACGATGTCCATTCTTTGTTTTGTTTAAAAATCAAAATACCTTGCATGTACTATTTACAAATGTGATTTTTGACATGGTCGTGGTTTAAGTCATACTTGCAATGTAGAGAACAATGCGTGCAATTCAAAGGTAATTTGTCATCTTCAATGCCTAGCCTCCAAGGTGTGCCACAAGGTAGTATTTTGGGTCCACTATTATTTATTGCATTTATCAACGATCTTCCATTATATGTCAATTCCAACACAGATATGTATGCTGACGACTCAACAATATATTCTAGTGCTAAAACAATTGAAGAACTAAATGTTAAACTAACTCATGATATGTCTAATGTTCATACGTGGTGTACCAATAACAACATGGTAATTAATAACAGTAAAACTAAAGCAATGGTTATGACAACTTGCCAGCGTGCGGCCACGTTAAATTCAAATCTACATGTTCAGTTTAATGGAGTGAAGCTAACAAACACTGAGAATGAAAAATTGCTTGGAGTTATTGTCAATAACAACTTATGTTGGAAACTACAGATTGATAAAGTAGCAAGATCGCTAAACAAGGGAATACATCTGTTAAGACAAATAAAGGAATATTTGCCAATACGTTTCAGAGTCCTTTACTATAAATGCTTTTTACAACCTCACATCGACTATTGTTCGACAGTTTGGGGTCAATCGACTGACGTAACAAGAATACACAAGCTTCCAAAATTGGCTATGAGAATTGTTTATGATCAACCAAGACTAACATCATCTGGACCACTACTTAAAGCAGCTAAAGTATTACCTATACAGCAAAGAGTCAAGCTACGAACCGCGATTATGGTATTCAAGGCTCGAAACCAATTGGTACCGGAATACATTTGTGACTTATTTCAACTGAAGTCATCAGTGACTAGTCGAGTCACCAGAAGTTCTGCGGACAATGATTTGTGGGTACCAAGGAATAAATTGGCAATCAGACGAAAGGCACTACCAT